AACAAAACCATTATACCCTGATTTCCCATTTTCAATGGGTTCAGGGTATAAAAATGCGAATCACATGGACGGTTAGAAAATGCATATCTAAATTGCATATTGATCCAGTTCAAAGCAAGCCTCAAAGTTTTCAATTTGATTGCTAAATGTGCGTTTCTTTTATTTCGTTGTGATTTCAATATTTGAACAGCCGTTATTTAGATTTCTTTTATCAGGTGCGAGTTGTACAATTTAATAAATTTGATTGGATTGGATTGGATTGTCTACAGTTGGAGTCGGAGATTGAAAAGTCTGTATGCCCCGCGTTTAAGTTTTGTTCATTATTTGCTCGCCTACTTCTGCAGCTGATGCCGTAATAATCACCTTCTGGCCATCATATTTGACGTCAATTGTCGTATTTTTGTTCTTATATAATTTCATGGCCAATGCGTTGATCAGTATTTCACCGTAGTTCTGGGGAACAGCCACCGTGAGGGCAAAGAGAATGCCGATGATCAAGCAAAGAACTATGTAACTATGCCACAACGCTTACAAACGACCTTGTAAGGTTAAATGTATTTCAGAGCTTGTCAAATATTTGACAATTGAAACGGGCTTTGCCACATCGTGTTTCATGAAGGCAACAGCTGTTCTCATTAAAATTTCCATTATTGCTTCCGTTACCCATAGAGCTTTATTTTACCTCTATTGAAATGAGACCAACTCAACACTAACGAATCTACTTCAATTATTTACTTACATACATAACAAAGCTTAAGTGTCTAGCATAAATAGTGCTCTAAGTATAGCAGAATTTTTTGAGAATGAGTATAAAATTAGCACTTACATTCTTATTCGATTTTTCCAAATGTTATTTGAAATATTTAGCAATCGAAATGGGCTAAGTCTCATGAAGCCAACAGCTGCTTTTAAGCAAACGCCAGCTCCCGAGCCGTTAATCGGGTTAACTATAAAGAGAAAACATTACAGAAGCGAATATTATGTTTATTTAGTAAACAAATTCAATTGGCTTACCGATATTGTGGTTAATTATAATTAATTATGTATGGAAGTGAATAATAAAATAATTAGTATGATGCTGAATGATATATGATTTTCTCTTGAGCCTATTCAAATTACAATCAAAAACCTTTGAAATGTTAAAGCTGGTTTTTTGCTTTCATATTTTATATAGCCTAGGCTATTATGAACTCAGATCAGACATTTCGAGTTCTATTTCTCTGTAGTCATATGAACAGAAGTCCTATAGTGAACTAAATGAATAGAAATATACGTAAAATGTTAGTTGAAGTTTATTCAGTATTTAAACGGGCTGCCTTATTTTGCTGGTTGATTTGAACAATTTAGTAATTTTTGTTGAGTTCTAAAACTTTGATGGAATAAAAATTGGAGAGTGAAGACTTTTGTGTGACATTTGTTTCCAGTTTGTTAATTTTCGGGCTCTCCGGTTTCATCCTCTATCTCCTCTTTCAACAGATCCTCGAGACCCTCGAGATCTTTGTCATCAACGACATCTTCGGCATCTTCGACATCTTCGGCATCTTCGACATCTTCGGCAGCTTCGTCAGCTTCGGCATCTTCAACAGCTTCGTCAGCTTCGGCATCTTCGGCATCTTCGGCCTCTTCGGCAGCTTCGTCAACTTCGACATCTTCGTCAATTTCGGCATCTTCGACATCTTCTGCAGCTTCGTCAGCTTCGGCAGCTTCGTCAGCTTCGGCATCTTCGGGAAGGTCGAGATCCTCTGGGAGCATCTGCTCCATCAGCTCATAGTACTCAGCATCTTCTGCATACTCGGGAGTCTCCATATCCTGCTCCTCCTCAGGCATTCCGCGCCAGAGACCGTTATACCTGTTATACCAGGGATTGTACCAGCTGTTCGGTATATGTACATGGGCACCAGATGGCCCGTGTGGATGGCCAATATTGGAAGTGGCGTTAGCGCTGGCAATGCCCGTAATGATCACAGTGCCGTTGCCATATCGCACAGTCGAGTTCCTCTGCTGCGCCAATTGTGTGGCCCAAGCGCTTAATGCGTTGATAAATTCAGCTGTCAACTGCGGAGCCGCGTATGTGTAGGCAGCGAAACTGCCGATAAGCAAGCTAAGAACTGTTACGATCTGCATTGCTAACAACAGAAGTTATAAGTAACTGTGCTTTTCGTAAACCAATCGGAGCTTTTTATACCAAAGGTCTTACGGCCGTCTTGATGCTGTCGTATGCTACAAAGCGTAAGATAAAGCGTTTTACAACATGTCAAATATTTGACAATTGCAATGGGCTGAGTCTCATGAAGGCAACAGCTGTTCTTGAGCAAGCGCCAGTTGTGTTGTGCTACGAATTTCAATACCATCGAGCGAGATCATTGCTCAAGTAAATTCTCGATGTTTACTTAACGAACAAGCTCAAGTAGTTCAACCGATATTGCTGCTCATGTTTATTGATCAATTAAGTTGGGAGGCAGTTTATATATAATATGTGCTATAAAACAGGTTATCCAGTCAAAAAGTTCGAAAAATTGCTTACGGTCTTGCTTCACATATTAGATCACAAGAATATTATTGAGCGTATGCTCCTCTGCTAATCAGTCAATAAAGCACTAAAAATGTGAAATGCCCTCAACAATTTTGGCTGTAAATTCACGTGGACTGAACCCAAATCCAGATCCACCTATCAACGGAAGTCGAGTGCATAAAAGGGAAGCGATTACAAGGCGGTAATAACACGATTCAGTCGTATAAAAAAGAAAACTCACAAATTTAATGTCGCCGAGCGAAACGGAACGCTTAGCATTTTATGGGCGAGTATGCAGCCACAACTTCAGCTCCGACCATATAACAAGTCGGGATACAATATTCATAAAGCAGCGCATCATCATTATTAGTATGTCAGAGGGATGAGAAAGAGAGAGAGAGTGTGTGTGAGAGAGAGTGAGAGGTTACATGTAAACAAGTCGACAACAAATTATGAGTCACGCAACAACATTTTATGTACGACACGTTGATTGAAGATTGTTTGGGTGTCGGTCGAACATCGCGTATACGCAACGTGTGCAACTGGAAATACGGCAAAAAGTTGTAGCTTAATTAAATAGCACGTTGAATCTACTGAAACGACGTTTTTAATTAAATGAGAAATGCAAATCTGAATTTGCCACGGGTGATACAGAGTTTCTCTTCTCTTTTTTTTCAGCTCTGGTTTTTTCAGTATATTCAGCTTCTTTTTGTTTTATTCGCTGTTTACCTGCCGCGG